ACTGTTATGTAATAGTTCAGGCAAAAAATTATCAAAAAAGATGAGGTAGCATACATCTAGTCCTAGGTACTTAGATTAAAAATAAAAAAACAATTGGGAAGTGCAATAACTGGATTTGCTAATGCCACATGAAATAAAAAGATGAGCACATATTTGGATTTTTGCACAGCGCAAATTCCGCAGAATTTTCCTTAGGGAACAATCCTCTATTGGCAAAGTGTGGTAAAACAGAACAAACAAATATTTTTTGTCTTTAATTGTTGTGATTCTGTTTAAAAGTTTGAAGACATCAATTTTAGCGTGTGGAATGCAATTGTGAAAGAAAATGGGTTTCCTGAATTTTCAGTGATTGACTAAAATCCACTCACATACTGGTTATTTTAATTTAAGGAAAAAGGATTTGGTTTCTTTATCCTGTTACATAACACTGGATCTATTCTCCCTTGAACACACAAGTATGTTTATCATTAATCTTAAAGAGAAACAGTTGTCCTTCAAAATCCTTTCTGAATTTTTGTCTGTTTTTTTTAAAGTTAGATCCCAAATGACTGGATATGAATTGATGATGAAAGCACATTGTTTATTTTTTTAATTAGATTACTTTAACCTCATTTATGCATAGTTCTTTTACTGTTCTTCCCAATAGCCATAGTGAAGAAAAAAAACATTGCTTTAGAGTGACTTCCAAAATGCAAAACATACGGTTCATACAGCATCCAGCAGGAGCCAGAGTACCTGTTATTGCTTTTTTAGCTCACTTTTATGAAGCTGGCTGGCTTTCAGTTTGGAGACATTCTTTAATAATACATATATTTTTCATTCTATAGTGCATTCCCTTCAAGGATATTAAATTGCTCAGGAGCTCTTGAAAATCCCAGTGAAAACCTTTGGATATATGAGAGGTTTTTATTTCCAGGTAGCTGACTGTCAATTAACTTGAGACACTCGCTTTTTTCAGAAAGCCACTTTGGTTCCAGGCTGTTTGGTTCCTCTGTGTTTGCCTCTCACTTTAGGAATCAGCCCCTCTAAAGCATCAGGCATTTCCAAACTCAGCTGTTATTCAGAAAGGACCAGCTCCAGCCTCTCAGACTTGCTAAGTGCCCCAAGTTAATATGTAATTAGCTCGATGTAAGGGAAGGACCAGTGCAGGCAATCCCATAATGGCTGGCAATCTCAAATATAAGCAAAATAGGCCACCCAGAGCATTAAAATGAGAGAATTGAATGCCAATTGGCTACTTCTCAAGAAGACCTGTGGATTTTAGTTGCCTTTTGTGTTTGACTTGTAAACTGGGTGCAGGGCTCCATCACTGACAGGTTCACATGATGGGGAGCGTACCAAAAACACAGGTCATGTTTTCATTTCTGTTTCATATTTTATTTATATATGATTTATATGGATAAACTAAGAAAAATTAACTGTCCAGGCCATAATTTCATGTAAAATAAACACAGACTAAAACTACAGCAACTTAGTGGATTGGGTGGATTAGCGAAATATCCTGGTATGTAACAACAATAGCAACAATTTATTCCCCAATTTAGTAATGCTTAAAATCTGCAATCCAGAGTCACTCCATGATATGCAAATCCCTCACAAAATCTGCCTTCCTTTTTCGGGCTCAGGATCCTCTGCTTAACAGGGGAACCTCAAAGGTTGACTCAATAGAGCTTTGTATAGAAATTCATGTTTAGAGAATCATTAATGCAAGGGACTTATTCAGACCATCTTTTTGCCATTTTTGCTTATACAATCCTTTGCAGATAATGCTGTCCATTTGTCTCCTAGCTTTCTGCTGGACTTCATGCCTGGATGAATTTTGCCTTTTTAACTTGAATGTTTATATGTAAAATCTCCCCAATCCCTGCAAAACCTTCTCCTTGTCCTTGCCCTATCTTGGTCCTGACTCCATGAAACATCGTGTTCCCTTTAGCAGCCACACAGTGAAAACAAGCTGTTCTCCTGAAAAGTGAAGTAATATTAAATCTGTTTCAGTTTAAAAATGAATGAGAATTTGCTGACAAGATATTTTAGGTCCTGGTGTGACATCCCTCCCTCTACCTTACCTGATAGAAACCTGACCTGGCTCTGCCATACTCCTGTGTTAATATGCATCCATCTGCAAAATCTGGCACTCACATCCCTGCCCATCGAGACCTCTTTAACCGGGTGCAAATACAGCGAACCTCTCCTGACTTTCGTGCCATCTCAGTAGATTTCCACACGTTGTAGCCAAGCTGGGGATTTGGCCCAGTGTCTTTTTTAAACCCTGTGACCCAGACATGGAGATTAAAAAAGAGTTATGTTATCGGATTAAACAGATACAAGAGGCACTCGCTGTATCAGCACCCGACACCTTAAAACTCCAGAAAGCAGATCAGCATGGTAATGGCAAAAATAGTCTCTGAGAAAGAGGGAAAATGCAAAGGAAGGTGATGGCTAGCCCGTGCCTCAGGTTGGGGTGCAAAAACCTGCCACTCTGGCTGGTCACCAAAGCAGCCACATGGATAGGGTATTCTGCTTCCTACAGCATCTTAATGCTGGATACACTTGAGGTCTGGTATACAAGTCATTTGAACTACACCTACCTGTAACCAGACTGATTTTGGACTGTGTTCATTAAGTTTGGGTTAATGTCTTCAGAGTGAGGTTTTTAAGGGGTCAGGCTTGATTGTGCTGTGAATGGCATCAGCACATGCTGAAGTCAATAGATACACAGAAGCAAAAATTCTAACAGATTAAAGCCAGACCTACATGAAAAGGACAGTAATTTCAGGCACCATTTGTATGCTTAATATTATACACATGCTTATGCTTTGTAATTCGGGCTCCAACTTGTGATTTCAGTTACATAAGGGAGTGGAGGAGCCAAAGGCATTAATGCTGCCATACACTGCTGCAGCTGAAGGCAGAGTTCCCCCAAATATTCATCAGGCACATTCTCAGAAGTCGTGCTGTCTCATAATAAAATAGCAAACATCCATGTGCATATTTATGACACAAAAGGACTAATTATTATTATTATTTTTCCACTTAGTTCCAGGTACTGTGTACACGCCTCTGACTTCAAAACAGCTTTGGCTGCTGTTTTTTTACCCCAAACATTTTTTTTTTTTTAAACACAGAGAGCAACCATGTGCTTTGTGTGACTGACTTTTAATGAGTGAGGAGCAACAGAACAGAGAAAGACAGAGACAAAATACAGGCTTTGATTCCCCTAGAGAACTTGAGCAAAATATTCCACTGCTGTCACTGGTACAGCTGTGCTGGCAGGATCCTTCACACAGACGAGGCTCCAGCCGCTACTTACATTTCACCGATGTGACTGCTTGTTCCTAATCTGCATCAAGGCGTCCTCACTGCAACCAAACAAGTGGCTGCACCAGTGAGAAGCATTTTGCTTCACTCCCTAGTGTAGCCAGAGCTTGCCTGTGTTTGTGGTCCCTCGTGGAGTCTCACAAAATGTGAGCTGCCTTCTGAAGGATGCCTACGAATCGAAGCTGCAGTACACAAGAAAGCTGAATCAGAAGACGTAGGTGGCAGCATGGACTACATCGTTATGAGTTTAAACCAGGCTGTTCAGTGGAGATATGACATCAATTAGCTGCATATATCCTATACTTCTATCTCTTTTTGAGCTAAAAACCCAATCACTTTAGAAATCTGCTCAGATACTGGAAAATCACAAGGGCACTGCAATCAGGGCAAATTGGATGTGTGACTGTGGCAGTTTGGCATCCTGTATTGCCAGCAAGGAGTGTGCTGAAGGGGTGCAGCTTTTGCAAGAACCAGCTTAGGAAAACAGCCTTTTCTAGAGACCTCCCTGGAGGCTGCTGTGATGGAATTTGTTCCTCCAGAAGCCTGTGCATAGGTGATGGGCTCCAGAGGTGGGCTCCCAGTGACTGCTGCCCTAGTTTGTGGTGTAGGAAGGTAGCATCTTGTATCCAGGAAAGCCTGGAGAGCAGAGCTGCGGGGACTGTTCACTCTTCTTTGGTGCATCTTTGCTGTTCCCAGTGCAAGGTTAGCGCCGCGGGACTTCCGCAAAACACAGATGGTCCAAAATATCCTTTCACCACTACTCTGCTCCCACAATGCAAACGGTATTTTGCAGTACAGAGGATCTTACTAAGTCTTCAGCAGGGGTTATATGAAAATTCCTCACGACTCTGTGTGCTGCTGTACCCTTTCATTAAGAGAACCGGAGGGGATGCAGGTAGGAGAGCGAGGACATATTTGAGTCATGTACCCGTTCGCCTGCAGGGGAAAAGCACCAGCTTTCGGTTCTGTGAAACCCAACGCAAGACAAAACGTTGCCCTGCTCATTTTCCCTGCCGATCGCCCCGGCCGTACTTTGTTCTCCAGCTGCGACTGGGACTGCCCGGTGCCGGGGATTGCGCTTCTGGGAGGCGGCAGAGCAGAGCAGGGAGATGCCGGCCGCCCAGGCACCTGCCAGGCCACGCTCCCGTGTTGCCTTCTCCAGCAGCACACCGCTGCCGAGACCAAACGCCCCGAAAGCCTGGCAGGGCGGCACCGGGTCCAGAGTACAGTTCCCGGGAAGAAAAGTGGCCGCGGAAGAGCAGAGCCAGGGCCCGGGCGCAGCGACGGGCAGAGCTAGTGACAGTGCCGTGGGATGCTTTGACTGCGAGAAGGGCGCTCTTTGTGTGAAGATAAAAAATAATGATTAAAACGCACGAAAAATAAAAAATAGCGAGAGCAGAGCGGCAGCTGGGAGCCGTCGTTCATCTCCCTCCCCGCCGCGGGACGCGGGCCGGCCCCGGTCCGGTCCGGCCCCGCTCCCGCTGCCCGCGGCAGCCGCGGGGGAGGGCGGGCGGCCCGGGGCGGCCCCCCCGGGCGGCGGTGGCCGCTGCCCCGCACCCGCCCGCCCCTCCCGCCGCCCCGCGGCCGCCTGCCAAGCCCGGGCTCCGCCGCCGTGTCTGCGGCATGGCCCCTCCTCCCCCACACCCCTTCCTTTAGGCTCCCCCCTCCCCAGCAAAGAAGAGGCCGTGCCGGTGTTTTTCCACTCAGCAGGATGGGTGATGCTCAAAGCTCCCTCATTAGACAACAGACACGAGAGGTCAGGAAGAAAGCGCTTATAAATTACCGTTTCCTCCAGCTCGGCGCTGCTAGTCGCGCCGCACCGCTCCGCCGGACGCGCCGCACCGCCGCAGGGGCGCAGCGGCGCGCAGGCACCGCGGCCAGCGGACGCAGGTACCGGCACCTCCCGGGCGGGAGGGCGGGCGGGCGGCGGGGCTGCCGCTGCTGCTGCTGCTGCCGCTGCCGCCGCCGCTGCGGTGGTGGCGGCGGCGGGGCCGGCGCGAATCGCCCCGGATCGCCCCTCTCTGCGAACAAAGGGGCGGCCGCTCCGCGCCCGGCGGAGCCGAACCGAGCCGGGCCGGTGGCGGAGGCATCGTCGTCCCTTTGTCCGCCCCGGGTCGGGGTGCCCCGCGGGCGCGCTTTCCCTTCCCCCTCTTACATTTATTTATTAATTCATCCTTCTCCTTCCAGCCCCGTCCTCCCCAGCTCTCCCATTACCCCGGCGGGGTTTTTCCTCCCCGGCGATTATTTACCCCACACCTCCCCCCACCTTGCGTTAACTTTTTTTGGCGATAACAGTTCTCAGCAATTCCCCGTTGCTGGCGGCCCTCCAGCACATATACGGCGCACGCTTCTCTCCCCGGCTATTTTTGCCCATTTTCTCTCTCCTTCCCACCCCTCCCCGCTGTGTTCTCTCTGTCTGCCGTGCGCTAACCTCGAGTGAAGGGGCTGGTAGAGGCAATGCTACATCTGATGCTAATGGGCCTACCTGGTGGGTAATAACGCTGCTGCTGCTTTCTATTTTCCTCGTTTTCCTTTTTATTCCCTTCCTTTCCGATTTATTTTGTTGGTTTGATGCTGAAATTAAAGTTGTGATTGGGGCTTGGACATAAAATGCAGGGACTGCACAGAGCAGGTTACTGAGCTCAGCGTGGTGTGAAGGGGTAATAATTTTGGGTTCATCTGGGGGTAACTTGTATTCGAAATTCACCCGCTTGCTTTAAGATAATGAATGCCCATCGCTGCCTGAATATTGTACCAGGCGCTACGTGGGAGGACTCACAAGGTTTCCATATAAGAACATGGGAGAATTTATTTCACCCAGGCGAAGAAATGTGCAGAGTATGTGTGATTTATGAAGCTGAAGGCAAGCTGTGTTATCCTTAGGCAGCTCCGAGAGTGGCAAAACTTGATATTTAGAAATTGTAAAAGCTGATTTCTGCTGTTTAGTAAGAGCTGCGTTTAAAGGGAAGCACAGATGAAAAAAAAAAAGGGGGGAAGTAGTGGGAGAGGATCCAGATAAGCACGAAGAAATACAACACCACACATATTCTAGCACAGTTTGTGCCAAGGTGTAAAGATGGATTTTTTTTTTTTTTTGGTTAGTTCCCATTTTTTTAACCGTATTGGGAAAGGCATTAGGAAAATGTGCCGAGAGGAGCTGGTTACGTTGATAGTGCTATTTTGGTAACTGCATTTTTTTTTATTGCTTGCATGTGAAAATGTTTTGAGTTTTGGACTAGCAAAACAGTGAGGCAGCCCTGACGGGGGCATATGTCATCGACTGTGTAATTTGGAGCTCAGATGACAGTTGCTACCGGTTTAGATTTTATGACTTTAGGTTTGAGGGTAAATCAGCCCGTTAAAACCTGCTGCGGTGGAATTTGGAGGGGAGAGGCTTTGGTGAAACCTCTGATGGTTGTTGACAGTCGGATATTTATTTACCTCTGGGTCCGAATTCAGGGGAGTTGACTGCTTTGCCACGAGTGTTACGGAAAGGTTTCCCTGAAGGTTATTGGAGGGTTTTTTTAAAGCAAAATGTGTGAGCAGCTGAGGCAGCCAGCAGCATGACAGTGTCCTTCGCCTGGACTAAGTCTAGGCTGAAGCACGAGTGTGAAGAGAGAACGTCTGTGTTGCCTGGTTAAACTGACACTGGAAACTTTATTTTTGGCACTTTCAGAAACAATATATCTTCGTGCTGCTTCTTCAACTGTCCCTTATCTGCTTTGCATGTTGGTTTTTTTGTTTGTTTGTTTTTCCTCTCTGTATTTGCCTTTCACCTCCGTCCCTCCCTGTTCCCACCTCTCACGCTTTGGGCTGTGCTGAGGAAGCTCCCACTGGAGGGCGACAGACACCTTTACCGCTCCCTGGGTGCTGCCCGGGCGGGGCGGGACCCCGACCCCGGGGACGGGAGAGGAAAGGCCGCTTCTTGCTGTCACTTATTAACCTGCTTCCTTCACCGTGCGCTGTGAGGGTTATTTTCTGTCATACTTCGCAAAAGACAGGAGATTGCAGGTGGCACCGTGATACCTGGAGGCCCCAAGAAGGTGCATGCTCGGGGATGCTAAATCAAAATCCTAGGGCGTTTGGTTGGTTTGCTTAGGAATATTGTTCTGGAGTCCAGTAGAAACTGGGAATCTTTCAAATGCTACCGACTTCTGTTTTATTTTGCTGTAAGCAGTAGCTAAATTTGGCGTTCAGCTCTTTGTTGGTAGTCTCTATTGTGTAGCTTTTGGGTTGCCTGATGCTTCTATGTCAGAGGTGAAATGTTGGGGCTGTAGCAGGAGGCTTCAGTCAGTGTGAAATGCTGTCAGAGAAGAGGTGTGATGTTGCCTGGGAAAACTAGGAAGACACTTTAGATTGGCTTGCTCTTGCTGCAGAGTGCTTGGGAAACTTCCTATGCCTGAGAGAAGTCCTGTTTGTAAAGCCTCAGTGAGGATCTTGTCTTACAGCTAATCATTGCTAATATTTCAGTGAGGGTTTTTTTAATCAATACTCTTAGTGTATCTTAGTGGCTTCCAGCCAGGTCTTATGGGCTGAATGTTACCAAAAAGACTCTCGGGCACTTTCAACAGGCTGCCATTTTTCCCAGGCAGTGATACTCCCAGGATTTTCATCAGTGCACCTCAAGTCTTAGTGGCAACCCTCTATTATTTTAACTTTGCCCCTTCCAGGTTTTCCAGTGCCCTATAGTTTTGCCTCAGTGGGTAATGGGGCAGTGTTGCCAGTTCCACCAGTAAGAGGAGTCTCAGCAGTGGTGCCCTGCCTGGGGTTTTAACCATGGTGGCAAACAACTCTGAAAAGATTATGCTGATTAGTTTCTTTTAAATTTAACCATATTGCAACACATAAAAATGGATGGGAAAGCACTGGTAGTTAAAGCCTTTTGTAAGTAATGCTTGTTTGATTGGTCATATGAATAAATTGTAAATCATTTAAGAAGTGAAGCTTTGAATAGATTACTCAGTAGGATTAGTGCCTTTGACTTCTTTCATCACTAACTTAATTTATGTGACCAAACGGACCAGGGTTATGTTTTCTGAAGTAATCCTGAGTCTACTTCAGTAAGAGCTCTATACACAGAACTCAGGTTTATTCTGGTGCTACTCTGCTCTGAGCGAGCTGCTTGCAGGATTGGGTCCTTGGCATTTGGAAAAAAAGAATGTGAATGCAGTGATTTAATATTTGTTGAATTTCTTCCATACATGCGTATTTACTTGAATCCTCAGCTGTTGCAGTGCCATGGATTTAATTGATTTGTGCAAGCTGAGTATCATCCCAAGGCACGTAAACTCTAGGCAATACCCTTTAAGTTGCTTACATAGAAGCTAATATAGATATAAGATAATGCAGTAGAAATTAAGTGAAACTGCTGCTCTTCATTGTCCTTTTGTCCACAAAAACCTGCTGCTGGAAGGGCTGCTGTGCTGCCAGTCTGTGACACTGAAACCATGGCTGGTGTCCTACGGCATCTTCTGTATTTCTATCAGTCTCTCTTTCTTCAATGTGTCTAGATTTACAGCAGCCCTAAACCCTGCTCCAGGAGCATCCACCAAACCCACGAGCTATGTTGGTGGAAGGGGAACATGAATCAAATGCCACCAAGCTTTGGGTGGGAGGTCTGTGGCTGTTGGGAAGGTTTGTGCATTTTAGCAGTTATTGGGTTTCCTGTTGTGGTTCTCTATCACTCGGTGTTGTCACAGCCTCAAAGGACCCCTTCGCTGCTTTGGCTGCCCAACCTGAGCTTGAATACAGTCAGTGCTTGAGCGCTGGCATGGAAAAAACATGGCACCATGCCGTGCCAAAACACAGCAGGAGAACCCTGCTCCAGGATGTTGGTGCAGGTCGGGTAGGAGACCAACCCATATGCTGAGACATGGGGTTATCAGTGAGCTGGAATGTAGTTAAAAGTTCGTTTTCTCTTTCATTGTTTTGCTTCAGATCGCATGGTATTTGCATTTTATTTCACTGCTGTACTTTAATTTTCCTGCTCTTCAGATAGTGTAGGCAAATCTTCTGCAATGTTTTACATTGGATGAAGCATGTGAGAAATGATCTCCTGTTCTGGCATTGGTACTAGATTCAGTGTCTTGATGTTCTTCAAGTATAAGATCATATTGATGAAATTCAGCAAACATGATGCATGATAATATTGAAACATGTCTGACTTATCTTGCTAAACCCGTTTTTTTCCTTTAAAATATTTTTCCCTTTTGTTTTTCTCTTTTTTTTTTCCAAACAGGAAGAGAAAATACATTCAGGAGAGACTCTACTTCATGTAAGTGTTATTTATGCTGGTTTATGAAATTACGAAAGGCTTATAAAGCTCATTAAAACATTCGAATACTGAACACTTACCATCTGTTTATAGAAACCAAGTAATAGAGCATGTAAAAATAGCCTGTAGTTACACAGCAATAATGCTCAGCAACTGTTATCTTAAACCTATCTGTGCAGTTCTTCTGTGCATATCACTGCAGAATTTAGAAACCATTGCAAAGCACTTTGCAGGCATTTAAGCAGCATTTCCATAATGTTGGCGTGTAAATCCTGGAGAGATAATGTTAAATTGGTTTGCCTGAAGCAGAGGAGACCCATAAGTGAGAACTTGATTTAGCACCCCAGAGTCCTTGATTCCCAAACCCTGTGACAAAAGTCAGCTTTTCTGCCTTGGATCCTACAGAATCCAAGTTCTGCCTATAGAGCTGTTTGTTTGCGTGCACGTGTACTAGTGTGTGCATGTATATGTGTGGGTAAGAGAGAGTGTGTATACGTGTATTTGGCCTCAAATAGCCTATAGTTATTTCAGGCCTTTTCTACAACCTATGGTGATACCCATTACAGTAAGAGTAGATGCCACCAGCCATTGGTGAATACCACTGCAAATGTTTTGTGAAAGCACTCGGTTCCAGCCTGGCTGCTCGGTCTAGGGGAGCCCGGTAAAGTGTTCATCATGGGACCGATAAAGCTGTTATGTCTTAAAAATACAACAGGCTTTTTTTTTTTCACACCATCTAGTGACCTGGTTTTTTTGCAGATCTCAGATTTGAAAACTGTTGAGTTGTATAGGAAGCTCTGCTCTGGTATTTCTTCTTAGTAAATCTGATTAAATGTTTTAAGGGGCTACATAGACGAAGACTCTCATTGCCTTTATGCAAAATTAGCTTAGCAAGGAAAAAGACTGCATTGTTCCCAATGCAGGGCCCGCTTTGCATAACTTTCAAGCATGTACTGTGTCCAGTGGCATGGCAAGCCCACGAGCACTCACCTCAGGCTGATTTCCCATAAGTCAACATATTTTTTTTATTTTTTTTATTTTTTTAATAAATAACATGTATCTCGGAATTGCAGCACTCCATTATGCTTGCGTAGCAACTGCTGGTTAATATGTAGCAAAACGCCGTGTGGTAACAAATTTTTTTGCTATTGTTGAGCTGGAATGTTAGTTCAGCTTCTAGATAAACGTGGCTTGCGCAAGGCATCCCGGTAGACCATGATTTCTGTGGCTTGTACAGTAGTTCTGTAGGCAACCGTGGTCTGCTCTTCCTCTCCCCTGTGCTTCCCTTCATCTTCCACGTGAGCGAGGGGTGGGCTTAGGTAAAGGCAGGGAACTGGCAGCCCTTTGCATCCCACAAAGCACCAGTGTGGGGGTTATATTACGCCTGTTGCTAGTCAAGCATCTGTTAAAAACGCTCTTTATTCTGGTTGTGTTGCTAGCAGAAACATTGTAAGATGCTTTATTTAATAGCTTTAAACCACAAGTGTTCTTTGGCTGGTTTTATGGATATCATAAGACAATCTTTCAAAAAAAACCCCTAAAAATCCAGTAGTAAGTGAAGGATACCCCACAAAAGATTAAAGAATCCTCCTTCCCTGCTACTGGGAATTCTAGCTTAGACTAGGTTAAGCGTTTGTATCTTTGAGAAAGTGCATCATCATTTTTAAAAGGTAATGGAGAAGGAAAAAAATCCCAAAGCTTTTTGAGTATGACCATTTTCAACATTTGTAGCTCATTATTATATCATTCTAGTGTAGGAAGTTCAAATCTCTTGAAAATCCTGTGAAGCATAGGCTTCCCAGAGATTATAAATGGGAAATAGTGCAACGAAAATACCTTTAAGAGAAGAAGCTCCCAAATAGAGAAGAACCCAAACAGGCAAACCCTGCAGCAGTGACTGTGCGGTGTCTGGAAACTGCAGAATAAGTCTGCAGTGCAGATCTGAAGAGTTTTGCCTGGAGACTGCAGTATCACAAAGAAGTAATCGGGAATTCTTAAGTCAACATACATACACTCTGAAATGAGTAATGAAATGAGTGGTCCAGAGGCCATTTGCGGTGCAGCCTTCCATCACCTGCTGTGGCTTTTCAACAGCTAACGGCAAGCTTGGAGCATCAGAGCCTCTCTCTTCTGGTTCTGTGCATGAAATATTATGACTTTGACTCGATAACTCTATTTGTGCCTGTCTGTGCATTGGCTCCCCTTGGCTTCTTCAACTGTGTGAGTTTCCAAACGAGAGTTAAACTCCGGGGAAAGGAGTAGTGAGGCTATAACAAAATGGCAGGATGGTGAAGCATCCAGGACAGGGATCTCTCCCAGGCCCTATTCAGAGGGGTTGACTCCTGTGGCAGTGAATGCTCGGTGGGGATTAACCCCTCAGACTGTGACTTGGACCGCTCACTGTGACAGGACATGACCACTTTGAGAAAGGGTTCTTTGTGACAGTAACCAGCCATATGTAGTTGTAATGATAAGAAAGGGACCATCTTATTGTAGTCACTTTGCGACAAATACTACCACAATTCATTACTTTCCATCAGTGCCTCATCCTATGGAGGAATCACCACTGCCCATCTACATTGAGGAGGGGACAGAAGTCCCGATTGGTGAGTGCAGTTGGGATGGGATTTGTTTAAGGGAGGGTGTAACGGTACTTGGGTTTTATATTCCTCACGTTTGTGTGTACCCATTTGTCACTGAAAACTGTAAGGTCTGTTGCAAATGTGTGTGGGTTTTTATTTTATTTTCTTTTTTATTTTCTACTAAGAGCTCCTGAGGGCTGTTAAATACTGCTGGAGTTGGTTTTCAGCTAATCATAAATCAAAGTACATAATTTATGCAGTGACACTGAAAGCTTCTGTGCAAGATGTATTAATACAAGGCTGGGGAAGACCACGAGTATCACAAGAGGTAGTTCCCGCTTTGGCCTTTGACCTCAATGTTCAGATACTCAGAATAATCTGAGCTCTGGTTCAGTGTTTTTTTTCCTGCTGACACACTCATGCCTGGCGCCCAACAGACTCACATTGCACACACCACTGAATAACCAGAAGAGAGTCAGAGAGGTTTGCCATTACCTGAGATACAAGTTGGAGTGCTGCACACCCCCATTTCTGAGCTCTGGTGTAGATTTATTGCCATTACATGGATGTATAGGTTGAGTGTTCTGTTGGGTTTTTTTAAATAGAAAAGCAGTCTATAAGGTAACCCATAAAGAACAAGACAGAAAGATCAGTAGGCTGGACTGTGGTGGTCTCCTTGGACAGTAGAAAGCTATGATGGCAAAATTTCCCAGAGCTCCTTCCTCATACAACCTGTTCTGGATTGCATACAGTTAGTGTGCCTTAGCTATCACCTTGGGAGTCTACCTTGTTGAGTAGATGTGTTCAAACAACTTTTTCTTATTATATTTCCTGAATTTTTCCATTCCTAAATTCAAGCAATTGCTTCTTGTCCTACTATCTTTTGAGGTAGATTAATTACCTTCCTCTGCACACAGTACCTTGAAGGTATTTATAGCTGGATTTCAGCCCAGGAGTCTTCTCATTTATAGAACATATTAATTTTAACTCTGTTACTCTCTCCTTAGATCACTTTTATGGTCCTTGTTTGTATTTCCTTTAATTTCTCTATCTCCTTTCTAATCTGTGGAGACTTGAACAGGTCATAATTTGTTCACTGTGGTTGTTTTGACACAGCATTATCCTTTAGATTTCCATGTCATCCCTTCCCATGTATGCATACAGAAATAGCTTAGCCTTTGACCCTTCTGCATCAATCAGTAGCACCACACAGAGAAACTCTATTACTCAGCTAATCTTACCTGCAATCACCTTTAGGTCTTTCTTGGATTCACAGCTTTGGTAGCTGCTCCTCAGGCAATGTCACTGCTCTCCTCAGATGCAGGGCTTTATAGCATTAAATCCCCGTCCCATTGCATGTCACTCACTTACTTTATCCAGGAATTACGTAAGACAGTATGCCTTTATTTATTTTAATGCCCTGGGATTTTATCATTAACATAGAAGTTGCTACTGTTTTATCATATATAGAGCAAATAAGTACTTAAAATTTTATATTTTGATACCTATTACAGCTGTCTTCTGTATGTTAATCTAGACTCCTTTCTCAGCTTCATCATTCTTGTTTATATACCTTCCCTAACCTTTCCTTCCTTTAGTTAAAAAAGTTCATTATGTAAAAACTGACAGGTTTAGCCTTCTCCTTGTCTTTATTTGTACCTTTTCTCATTATAGAATTAGTATCTTGCTTCTCTGTGTCTTCCATGCATGGCATGATGTGGCCTTTCCCACAGCAGATCATCTTTCCCTCACCTCCTATGGGACTGTAGTGCTTGATATCAGTTCCCTCTTGTAGAACTGTTAAGCCAAGTTCTGCCCTGGCCCCTGGTATTTCCATCTTGTCTTTCCCACTGCATTGAGGAAACCTGCACTGCCGAGATCGTGGCACCTACACTGAGAAAAACATTGTTAAGGCTGATGAGTCACAGAACTGATCGACCAACCAACCAAAAAAAAACCCCAACTATGAGTGGAAAGCTTTTTAGAGGCTGTTTGTTCAGTGCTGTCTTGAAGCAGGTTTGTTGGATTAGGTTCTGAAACGCAGCACTGGCTGTGAAATGGCCAAATTGGGTTGAAGAGGGCACAGTGTTTGCTTAATCTAAATAAGTATCTGGACTGTCAATACAGCAAGCTGTGGTTGAGGGGCAGTGAGTGGAAAAAGTAAATGATGCAGGGATGAGGGCAAACCACAAGCTCCAAGTTTTTAAATGTCTAGCGTGGGTCAGGCCTTTAGATGCAGTATAAATAATCAGTATAAACCATCAAGCTAGGCAGTCAGCTGCAAAATTCTGGTCTGGGTCTGGTTTTCAGTACTGGCCCTGCTTTCCATTGAGCTTACCAGCGTGGTCCAGGTCCAGGGTGCCCACTTGCATCCATACAGACACTAATAGGAATAAAACAAGCTCCTGTCTGCATTTAGGCTGGAGAAGAATAACACACAGCACAGTTGTTAAAACATTTAATTCAGCACAGCCATCATTTACTTTTAAAAGGTTGTTTGGAGAACTTAGATTATTTCCTAATACATTTTGGCTGTTATATGGTGTGCATACTGTTCTGGCCCAGGCCTGACTGGTGGTGGTAGAGTGCTTTGTAGCTTCTGTATTGAAAAAATAGAGAAATCAGTAGGTTTTTTCAGAGTCTGAATTTAACAGTGCTAATTATTTCAAGCAATTTAAAAAGGAACATAAATCTCACTTACTACAGCTCCTTCATGAAAACAGCAGCTACAAATAATACTCAGTAATGAAAATCTAGCTAACACTGTCATGAATTAGCCAGCAAGAGAATGAATGTTTGGGATCTGGACAAGGGCAGCATTTCATTTTCTGGTGAGGAGTCTTTGCTTTGAGGAGAGGGTGTTATTACCTAAACACTGTTTTTGTCTCCTTGGGTGAAATGAAGACTTTAACATTTCTGCATAGATGAATATTACTTTTGATTGGAAAAAGGCCTGGACTATACTTAGTTTTTATGTATTTTTGCCCTTTCTTGAGGACATTCCCAAAGGAATGAGATGCAACAAATGTTTGAATAAACTAAAGAAATTTCTAAGGAGATGGAGAATACCTTGTGACCACTAGTAAAGAACCTTCAGAGCAGTGAAAGAGTGTAGGTCATATGCTGGCAGTCTTGGTTCAGGCACAGTTTCAGCTGTCTTCGCACAACTAAATGGTTCAGGAGATTAAAAGCAAGGAAATAAGCAGAGCAGGTCCTTATTCACCATCACTGTTCATGCTAAGGTCATGGCCATATTCTCTGATCACTGTTTGGGACCTGTTGTATTAAACACTGAAGAGAACACCTGAGGCCACACAGTCCAAATTTACGTTTTGTAAAGCACAAATGCAGGAACAAAATATTTGTATTGGCAGTCATTGCATTTGGGCTATACAGGACACCACCAAGGGAATAATTGTGTCCTTGGGAATCAGGAGCAGTAGAGCTGTAGGCTGTGTTTGTTTATATTCTCCTTCCAACTCACATTTTGAGATGTTAATGTTGTTTGATACCTGTGAAATTAGCTCAAAGACATATAAATTCAGGATCTAATTCTGAACTGATTTATTCCAGCATAGCTTTGTTGATTCCAGTAGCATTGCTATGGCTTTATCGTTGTGTAAATAATGTCAAAAGTCAGACCCCCTTTTTTGGGAATCAGTCCTGCTGACTTTGAAACCCATGGTACTCCTGCTGTAGCTCTGAATCTCTCTATGGATGAAATCCCAATGGTCCACTTCTATCTTACTGATCTACTTTTGCTAATGAATAGCACTGGCTTCAGTGGACTTGTGTTAAATGTATACAAGTGTTACATAGACCTTACCTGTACAGGGTTTTACCCCCATTAAATCATCTCAGTGTGGTGGAAAGCTCCATTAGCACTCTGCAGTCACGTTCTCTTGGTCATATGCACAAGTCCTGGTGCAGCCTGGGCTCATTTGAGTAATCTTGATTACAGGAGAATAATTTTCTTGTAATCCCACACAGTTTCTTTTGCTACTACTCAGTCCCTGATTTTAAGCATCTGTGGTGCCTTCTCTGTGATAAAAACTGGATTTCCAGTCTACTTTTGCTCTTGGGCAGACTCACTGAAAGACAGATGCTCTCTTAATTCTTCTGTCTGTTTCGATAAGAGAGTTAAAGTTCTTTTTTAAGCAGCGTGACCATAGAAAGTGCCCCTTTTCCAGACAGGAAGAGTATTTGTCACCCTCCAGAGAGCTGGCTCTGTGTCTCTCTTGGAGCTTGCCTTCCCTTGCAAGGGAATAAAACCATTTCTGTTGCACGTGCTAAGGTTTGCTCTTTCACGGGGTGCTGGCACACAGACAGTTTGATTTTTGCCAGGTACTGAGTGCCTTCTGCAAGGTATTGAGTGCCCTCCTATCCTTTGCAGCCAAAAAGGAGTTGATTGCTCTTGGCATCAGTCAGATCTGGACCCAGAAGACCACAGGTAGTATTTACCAATTATTTATGTGCTTTCGCATGCCAGAGTTTGTCTGAATTGATTTTCATAGCACACAAGAAATTTCAGGCGTTAATGACACTTGCCTGCCACTAAAAATATTTTTTTCTAAATAATAATAATACAGTAATAAGCATGACATTTATTGCATTGCCATGGGGAAATTAAACCCCCCCCAAATTAACTGCAGTCCAAGTAACTATTAGCTTTTCAGAGCTAATATGTGAGTTATATACCCTGAATGAGCACCATATGCCAATTCATTGTGGCACAGTGAGTCACAGGACACATTGTGGAGAACAATAATTGCTTGGCATGCATTGGAGCACTCAGTAGTGTTTTTTGTTTGGTTTTCTTAAAGGAATATGTTTTAATCTGACAATAAAATTAGTATTGTCTAATATGCTGTCACCAGGGACCGTTGCTTGTTTTATACTTACCTGGAGCTTACCCATCTGTCACTCACCTCACAACCCCTCAGTACCTTTTGCTTTCCAACTGCTTGTATTGTATGTGTGGAGCACCAGAATATGAAGATTGAGCCTTCCATTTGGTACTGTCTTGCCATTTTGTATTAATCCTCCTCTTCCTTTTCCTCCTCATCTTCTTTCTGTGTCAGATAGAGAAATTCTTATTGTTTATGTGGGAAAAAAGTTCACCCTGAGAGGAGTGAAGCAAGGGGATGGGTTGCACACTGAGATTTTCAGAGGTTGACCAGATAAGGCCATGAACAAACCAGTCTGATTTTGATGTTGGCCTTCTTTGAGCAAGAGACTGGGCTACACGACCTCCAGAAGTTCCTTCTGACCTGAATTACTTTATGGTTCTGTATAATACGCAGTTCCTGTTCTGATTTAGCCATGATGCTGTGAATGCCATTAACTCCTCACTGCCTGTCATTGTCACTCGTTCATACCAGCATAGAACAGGAGTGAACTCCTGAAGGTCAATGAGGTGACAGTGGTTTTACTCCCACGGGTACAAAATCAAGAGGTAAAAAAAGGTGAGATTAGTAGGTGAAATTTGGATACCTCTGAAATTATTTGAAATTTTACCAGGATTTCATTCGAGTTCTCTTCCAATCTTCAGTGAGTGCCAACTGAAGTTATCAGTTGAAGAGCTTGATTCATAATTATGTCAGGACAATAAGTATTTAAAAAGTAAAGATCATCTTTTCCCCCTTTCAGTTACAAATCCCATTCTCTAGCAGCCTTGGAGAGAGCTTTGGGTTGTTTAGGGTTTAGTGAGTCACCAACTGCCCTCGCTGTGCCGTTACGTGCTGGTTTCCTCATGTGGCTGTAACCACGTGAGGGAGTTAATGCTGCACAGAGCATCTGCTCCTCAGCTAAATGCCTTCCCAGCCCTGCAGCTGTCTGCCAGAGAGCTTTGGACGTGCAGAGGGGCATCTGTGAGCTTGATTGGGTAGCAAATTTTCGTGGGTTGGCCCATATGCTGTCCAAAAAACACCCTTTGTCAGAATAGTGTTATTTTAGTTGTGATGAAAGAAAGCAAAATCACATTCAGATTTACCATGTCAGCTTAGGGAATTTTCAACAGTTATCTAGCTATTCTATGGGAAAAAAAACCCACAACAACTCCCTTGCTAAGAGAAAGAAATATAAGAATCATTTCATAGGGTTGCTCTTTCAAGTCTGACAAGATAAGGTGCTTTTTCTTGGTATTTCTCCTTTATCATTAAGAAGTATATTGCTTATGCAAACACCTTATTTCCCATCAGGCTCTATCAAAAGTAAAGTTTACAAATGGGGCTACCATAGTGGATTACAGAAAGACTTAAACATGAGCAACTAAAAGCCTTTGTTCTCCCTTTTTATGCAAGGCAGGATTTTAATATCGAGATTTAACAGGACAGACTTGCTTTCGTTGCTGCCCTCCCTTTTCTGTAACCACATCAATACTCTGTCCTCATACAGATCTTCCTTAGGTGATGTAGACTGTTTCAAATGTGAAAAAGGTGTTGTGCCACGTAGAGGGAATATAGTAATATTAGACACTGTTGCTTAGTAGGGTTGAAGGTGCCCTCTCCTCCACTCTTTGTGCAGTGTACAAGCAATGGATTACAAGTGAAATTTAATAGGAAGATAGTAATCAGATGTGGAATTTAAAGCAGTACACCTGACTTTGAATCCACTAGGTTTCTCCCTCTGCAAAACTACCACAAGTTCATATTGCTCTTGTAGTCACTTAGAAAAATTCAGCCATGTAAACGAAAGGAAGTCTCTCACTTTCTACCATTAGTTTATATCCTAATTGTTTTTGTTGCTATCTCAGCTGTTTGTCAGGTGCCCATCGTTTATAGTGGAACTGCAAACAGCTTCCCACCTGTCCCTAATTAGCAAAATAATGAAAAACAATTGTACTCATGATGAAAACAGCTTTAGATATTAAAGGTTAATGTGCCACGTTGGTATCTAATGTAAGCATGTTCACTGAGGTGAAATTGCACTAAGAGAAATCCTCAACTGGTTCAGGTTTGACTGCTAACAGGAGTAAGCTGAGTTTACAGTAGTCAAGCTAGGGCTATGAAAGCAACCTGCAGTGAAACCATCAGCTGGCATTTGTTTGAAAAGATAAGAGATGGAGAAAAGTACTCAGGCTGTTCCTATATTGTCATGCTGTATTTGGGGAAGCCTACCTGCAAGAGCCAACAGGGAAAACAAGTACCTGTAGCGAGTGGGATTGACCCTGGTATAAAGGTGGGACTGCAGATCCTTTTTTCTTGTATTGGAGTCAGCCTTTGCTCTTACAAAATACCCTTTGGAGGCAGGAATTCCAGGGTGAATTCTGTGGGGCTTTTTTCCAAGTAGAGTGTGGGCTCAGGGCTTTGTTCGTGCTTGGTGTGTGTTCTGCACTTTGCAGACCGTGGTATGCAGAAGTGGTTTGTATGTTAGTTTCCTTGGAAAAGTGAAGTGTTTATTCTGGCACTCTTTGGCTTTCATATCTCTTGACGTAAAAATGAGCGCAGCTCTTGGTCTGTGAAAGCTGATGTCAGAGGCCCTGGCAAAAGTGAACTGAAAATACACCTCTGGTTGGGAATCAGTCTGAATCACAGGACACTTAAAAGCATATGGGTTTAGTGGTCAATACCAGAGGTTTTACTTCCAACTCAGAACTTCAAAGCAGATGGGTAGTGATCAAAAATTTGTGATTTTGATCAAATAATGCCTATTGAGAGGCCTGTAGGTCATAGTAGTATTCCTTCTCAAATGCCCTCCAGGAGCATGCTGAGTGGCTCTGGACGGCCATGGAAGCTGAGAGGATGGAACTGCAGCTGGAGACTGAGCCAAGGCTGTTCTGGGATTAAACAAAACATGCCATTGTCCAGCCGTGCAAGCCAGCACCTGGCACCAGCTGCATGAAAGCAAATAAATATCATAGTGTCTACAGAGCTTCGCTTTTTTTGTGTGTGTGAAAGTCTGCAGTTCACCAACCTGTTTTGCAGAGTTGTGCTCTCAGTGAGCTTGTTCACCAGCTTTGCCACTTCTTCTTTTAGCATATCCTCTGCAGAACCCCCCCTGTGCTGTTCTGCGCTGCTGTATCAGTGGTTTCGATTTCATTTCCTGTGTGAAACTTCATATGCTGAAAGTTTCTGTTCCGTTTTTTTTTTTCTTTTTCTCTTGAAGGAAAGAAAACAACAACAGTAAATTAAACCTCAGGGTGCTTAGGAAGTCTCTGATGGCTGAAGGTCTGTGAGCATGGGTGCCCTGGCCGAGCACACCAGTCACCTGAGCACCCCTGGTTCAGCAGCAAGAGTTTGGCTCCACATCTTAAAAGATTACAGCTCATTTCTGCCGCTGAACTGTATTTTTGGTGTTATTTACTGCCAGCGTGGAGGAGAAGTCAAGGCTGAAATCAAAAGTAGTTCACTCTTGCCATTAAGTTTTAGTGCTCATGATCCAGCCCTCAGGGCTTTGTAACCAGCTCAGATTTTATAGCCCTGTAATGGGACTAACGCTGCGGATCGCGTGCGTGTAATAGCTGTGTTCCTGGTACAGGTTGGCTGGCTGTTTTCCACCCAGGGTGCCATGTTGCACAACTCTTCCTTCCATTACTCTGTTCTAGAAAAAAAAAAAAAATAAAGTGTTATGCACATGGGGCATAGGAACAAAGAAGAAGAAAGGATTGTTCTCTTCCACCGATGGTGTGGGGATCTAGATTTGCAGGAATAAAGTACCGGGTGACATGTTTAAACAGCTGCCACAGGTGGGATAGAAATCTGTCCTCAGTTATTGTTTAGGTTAAGATGAATGGATAGAGGCAATAAAAACACAACTCCAGCTTTGTGTGGAGGTGGCCTAGGTAGATACAGCAACAGCTGATCAAAGCCCTTACTGGCTATAGAAGACTCTACTTGTTTTTTCCAAAAGCATGTTATACATGTATCTGTTTTTTACTTAGAAAACATACTGAAAAAGTACAGTAATCTTCAGTTACAGGAAAGCCCTGAACATTAGCATTGGTAAACTCAGTACATTTAAGGCCAAATTTTAAATCAGTTGAAAAAAAAAAACCCTGTGTGAGGGTGAAATCATTTATTCCCCAAGAAAAAATGACTATAAAATAGTGAATTCATACATCTTATTGCACATTTGCTTTACTAAATGGCTATTTTATTGTTTCTCTTTCCTGCACTGAGGCACAGCTCAGTTATCGCAGCACACAGAGGTTGCTGTCTGACATTATCACGTGTTGTAAGTGCCTTGCAGAAGTGTCACACAGGATCAATACACCATTAATCACATGCAAAAAATTCAATAGGCACAGTGCACACCACTGACTGTTCAAGTTCATAAGCTTTGTGAGCTTTAAGGTTTTTGCCTTTTTTATAGCAGGATGAAGGACGTCCCTTATTGATTTTGGTGCAGTTTATTTGTGGCAATAGAACTAATTTAATTGACACCAAGACTTGCTAGAAAATTGCAATCCACTTAACAACAGACCTTCAGAATTGAAAACAAAATATGACA